TACCGAACGCAAAAAAATAAAAAAAAGCTTAATATGCACTGCGCTTCAGCAGCAATGAGTTGAAATCACCGGGCGAGGGCACAGATTACGAACTCAGCTGAGGCAAAGCATGTCAGAAAAGTACAGAAAGTACAGAGAATATGGGCTGATATGAACGATCGCAAGTTAATTATTTTGTTTTGATGGAGCGATTTTGTGAATATAACAGCGGCCGTGCGCAGTTGGAGTATTTGAGCCGTTACCGCTGCGTCTTCTCTGCTCATAGAATGCCCGCAAAGCGGAGTCCATAAATTACGTAATATATGTAGATACCGGATCTTTATTTTGGGCTTTCCGCAATTTTAATTTTTAAGAAACCCGCATCTTGATTCTGGGTTTAAAAATGCATTGTAATTACCGCGTTACTGACAATTGTACCGAGTAAATATTACCATTTTCTTTCCCTGTAATGCCTTACATTACCACATTACAGCAAAAAGCAATGCATTACAGTAATTAATTACTTTTGTACCGCATTACTCCCAACACTGCCCCCCTGACCCTTTGTCCTAACCAGTGGTGGTTTTACCATTAGGCATAGGTTGGCGGCCACCTGGGGCCCCCATGTGTTGGGGGTACCCTAGCCCTAACTGCTGTCACCCCTCTGTTAATGCCACAATGGACAATTCCTTTAAGATGCCGATGCACAAACAGGAAGTGATTGGTAGTCATTCCACTCCAATCCAGGTGGTGGCAGTAATGCACCAAAGTGTTGTTTGCCAAGTGCCATAAGACCACAAATAAGAAGAGAAAGCAGAAGAAGAGAGTGAACAAACTTTGAAGCGGTAGTCAAAACATGAAGCATGAAATGGAGTTATCCTCGTGGCTCAAATAAGAGAAAGAAGCAGCTCGTTTAAAAAAAAGCTTTTATCTTCACTTCCAAAGTGACGTCGTTTTTCTATGTAAACATCAAAGGAAGCAGAAAAGGAAAGACAATGGAAAATGTTTAAAGGGAGGAAAACATGGACCAAAATGGAAAATAGAAGAAAAAAACAGAAAGGCAAAAGCACAGGAGCACTCCAAGGGAGGGAAATACAGGAAAAAAGAGGAGGACTAATAAAAAGGGAAAACAACTCATGTCAAAAGAGGGGTTTTTTGCAAATCCAGTTAAAGATTGCCGAAATTTTAGTGTAAGGGCCCCATGTCTGTGTTTGCCTTGGGCCACCAAATTGCTAAATCTGCCGCTGGTCCGAACCTTAAAGTCACTTAAAGGCTAATACCGGAAATGTTAATAAAGGGACCCTTATCCTGTTAAACCCTAACGCCCCCCCCCCATTTGGGGGCCTCTACAGTTTCATGTCCCAGACATCTACAACTGTCCACATTCTCCAAACACAACTAAACCCACAATCAAACAGCCCAGATGGGAAACAAGGCCATTTTAAATTGTAATACATTAAGATACAATGATGTTTGAACTTTATTCTAGAAGAGCATCTGACCTTCTCTGGTGTCTGCTGGGGAAAAAAAACCTTGAACAAATTTAGTTGAGGACCCCTGGAATAAATAAAACAATTGACTAAATTTCCTAAATGGAATTTGAACTCACAACCTTCATCCTGTCAGCACTTTCACACAGGGCAGCTCTTCTAAAATAAAGTTCACGTATTATTTTATCTTAATTTGTCTGTTTAATGTATTTGTTTGCAATCTAAACTGGTCTGATTGTAGCTGTGCTCGGGGAATGCAAACCATCACGGACACTTGGGGGAGATCTTGGGAGAAGCGAAGAGCACATTGACTCCTCCAGCTGATAACCTCGCCAGGCTGAAGTCCACCAATCTGAAGGCGGGGGGTAGGTCGGGTTTTCACAGCATCTGTCTGCATTCCTTCGTGGGGGTTTTAGTTGCTTGCAGCTCAAGACCACCAGGGCGTCAGATTCAGATAACAAGAATTTGTTATCTAAAGAAAGAAGAATTTGTTTGGGTCAGGCTGAGATAATTTTCCTCTTCCACACATCAACTGAACAACCTCCTAAATGGTAAATGGTAAACGGTCTGTATTTGATATAGCACCTTCTAGAGTCATGAAACCCCTCAAGGCGCTTTACAACACAATCAGTCATTCACACATTCACACACACATTCACACACTGGTGGGGATGAGCTACGATGTACAGTGATCCCTCGTTTATCGCGGTAGATGCGTTCCAGACCTGGCCGCGATAGGTGAAAATCCGCGAAGTAGGGACACCATATTTACAGTACAGCACATTCTCTTTTTGTGGGTAAAACTCAAGAAAAAAAATTTTTACTTGTTTTTTTTTATAGTTTTATTACAAAAAGTGCATTTTATGATGAAATTGATGAAAAAAACTGGAATTTCTTGATATTTTGCATAGAAAAATACCGCAAATTGGTGAAAAATACAGCAAATCTGTGAATTTTCCTTGAATAAGGCTCCAAAGAAAAAATCCGCCAAGTCGTGAATCCGCGATAAACGAACTGTGAAGTAGCAAGGGATCACTGTAGCCACAGCTGCCCTGGGGCGCACTGACAGAGGCGAGGGTGCCGAGCACTGGCGCCACCGGTCCCTCCGACCACCACCAGCAGGCAATGTAGGTTAAGTGTCTTGCCCAAGGGCACAACGACAGCGACAGACTGAGCGGGGCTCAAACCTGCAACCTTCTGATTACGGGGTGAGCACTTAACTCCTGTGCCACCGTCGTCCTAGAAAAACCTTCTTATTCAAATGTTTTATTCTACTACACGTCCGTGTGCAGAGGGGAATAAATCTGCTTGTGTGACGCGCTCGTTTGTCATTGCATCACAAACATGTAGACATGCATGTTGGACGAAAAAGCGTCACGTCAGCAGGCCTGAGCTAAACCAAGCCCCACAGCTGGGAGGCTGGGATGGAAACACAATAAGGAAACCCTTCTCTTTAATCGCTTTACCCCGCAGCTTTTAGACTGATGTCCTGCTGAACCAGTCGTGATGTTCTGGTCCTAACGCCTGGAACAAATGAAAGAATTACGTTAAAGAAATTAGGTTTGTTTTTTCGCCCAGATCATCAAATCTTTATTTATGTAGCAAAAACAGCATTTTCTCTTGCTCCTGTAAGAGTCATCCTACAGTCTAACTAAAAACAAAGATCTCAGTATTTTCTCATAAATAGTGAAGCAACAAAAACAGATATTGACTCTTACCAACTCCTAATTCACATCGTTTAGTTTAAAAATGCAAAATTTTACCTTTTCATGACACACAGTGTAGTTTTCATAACAGTCAGTCAGTTGAGGTGGTTTGGGCATCTGGTCAGGATGCCTCCTGGACGCCTCCCTGGGGAGGTGTTTCGGGCATGTCCTGCCGGCAGGAGGCCCCCGGGTCGACCCAGGACACGTTGGAGAGGTTACATCTCCAATCTGGTCCGGGAACGCCTTGGGGTCCTGCCGGAGGAGCTGGTGGAGGTGGCCGGGGAGAGGACGGTCTGGAGCTCCCTAGTTGGGATGCTGCCCCCGCGACCCGGACCCAGATGAGCGGAGGAAGACGACGACGACAACAGTATGTCCTTTCACCCTTTCATAAGACATTCTGTTTATGTTTTACCTTTAACCCTCCCACTGTCCTAATGGGTGTGACCCCGTGAGGGAAGCTGACCCTTGAGCAGGATTGAGGGTTTATTCCTTGAGGAGTGAGCACCACCTCACGCCTGCCGATAGGGATAAACCATCAACCCTGCTAAATGGTAAATGGCCTGTATTTGATATAGCACCTTCTAGAGTCCTGGAACCCCCCAAGGTGATTTACAACACAATCAGTCATTCACCCATTCACACACCCATTCACACACTGGTGGGGATGAGCTACGATGTAGCCACAGTTGCCCTGGGGCGCACTGACAGAGGCGAGGCTGCCGAGCACAGGCGCCACCGGTCCCTCCGACCACCACCAGCAGGCAACGTGGGTTAAGTGTCTTGCCCAAGGACACAACGACAGCAACAGACTGAGCGGGGCTCGAACCTGCAACCTTCCGATTACGGGGTGAGCACCTAACGCCTGTGCCACCGTCGCCCCAATGGTGAGCTTTCCTCACGGGGCCACCCAGTGGGAGGGTTAAGGACACATTCTAATGTAAAATGTTTTGTACCTGTTCATAACCCGTAGTACGACTCGTCTCGTTGGTTTTAGAACAAACTCTGTAGGACGTTTTTATTGCACCTTTAAATGGCGTTTTGGGCCTCTGCTCGACCTTCTGCCCCCATGACCCACACCTAGATACGCGGACGATACCAGAGGGGAACGGCCTCTCCCCATCACAGAGGAGGACCGACGCAGCATCAGTTTTTACGGTTATTTTTATGTAACTAGGGAAATAAACACATTTAACCTCAAATTCTGATGCATGTGTGGTCATAACTGAACAGTTTAAGTAAAACAGGGTATCTGCAGGTTTAAGGGAGCCAAATTTAAGACTTTTTAAGACCTTTTTTAAGGCCACTTTGACCAAATTTAAGCAATTTTTTAAAATTAAATTTAAGCTATAATTTCCAGCTATTGCCTGGAACCGGTGCTAACCACGTCACAAACATGGGATTAGCCATCCAGTTACCATTAAACTTGCACTTCCCCATGGCGCAAGCTCCCACTAGCTTAACCAGCTAATGTGCTCATCTAAAAAATAGCCCCCTTTCACAACCAACTGAATGTGTACGGTTCCGCTTACGCCAACATCGTACACAAAAAATGCTGAACACCAACTAGAAATTCACGAAAATTTTATAGAAATAAAAATCTTGTTTATTGGGTCTTTGGTAATTTAAGACCTTTGGAAACTGTATTTAAGGATTATTTGTCATTTTTAAGGATTTTTAAGGCCTTAAATTTGGAAAAGCTAATTTAAGACTTTTTAAGGACCCGCGGATACCCTGTAAAAACCCTTTGATGCTGCAGAAACACGAAGTTTGTCATCCCACAGCCCCACCAGCTCCTTTCCACAGTAAAAGGCCAAGAACAGTGCACTTGTTTGTAATAGTCAGAAGAATATGTTTAATAAAAATAATTAAACTTCAATTTCGTCTATAGAACTTTATAGAAAGTAATCCAATAAATTACAAATGACAGACGCATATTCCTGCACTACATTAATTATTTCGACTACACGGACCACATCTTGCAAGAATAACTGTCTAATGGAGAAAAAATAACAAAACTGACCAAGGTGACACTTAAAGTAGCTGAAACTTGGAAACAAAAGCCCAGTTGCTGGCCCCGTCCTCTCAGTGGTTACAAGTGGAAACGGAGAACTCCTCCTCGTACAGCAGTTGTGTGTTTAGTCGTTCCTCAGACCCGATCCAGCAAAGCAAACGTGCGATCTGGAGTTCTTGTACAGTGGAACCTTGTGGGGAGGGAGAAAAAAAAACACAGGGAATGAAAAAATAAAATAAAACCATTTCCAACATGACTTCCTTTCCCCTCGTGCGTCCTAGTGAGCTTCGGCACAAGTCAATCCACCGATCCATCACTGAGGGGCAACGCATCGTCGCGTCCAGCAGCTGGGTTTGCGTAAGGGCACTACGAGTTCAAAGACGGCAGAGGTGCAGAAATACAAAAATGACAGTGGTGTGTATATGTCCATCGTTCATACATACAAAAATACCGCACTGTTAGTAATAACCATAAAAAATGCTGTTGCATTGAAAGCAAACCCATAACGAGGTCTATTTAGAACAGGCATACAAGGAAAAACACTTCAAACAACATCAGAAAACACGTGTCTTCAGTGTTCAGCTCGTTCCCCTCGGTTAACCCACCAGAGAGAGATGCTACAGATTAGTTAACAGTTTACTCAGCGGGCCCCAACAGCGACGACCCAGAAATACTTAACAGTCCACCGTGTAGGATTACAAGAAAACGTACTTCTACTCGAGTGCGGTCCAGTGTTTGTGTCCTGGCTACGGCTCCCAAACGGACATGTGCACGGATGCTGAACGAAGCGTCAGACGCACAGACAGCGAGCGGCTGAACGAGGTGCAGGATAAGGGCACTTCTACATCTAGCTGAAGCTCCGTTTGTCAGCAGAACAGGGCGGCGGCGGCTGAAGGGAAACGACGTGAGGAGAGAGCCGCAGACTCTCAGCAACGCCAGCTGAAACGATCGAGCCCTTCCCGACGCGACTCTAATACTAAAAACACCACAAAGTTACGATGAGATGCTCGTAGCTCCGGCAGACATCCGACCTTCACTCAGTCTCGCACACACACACGCACACACACACACACCAGTGTGATGTAAATGTGGACAGATAACAGACACCCGTGCACATGAACATTTGCACAGTGAAGCAAATCCGTTAAGCAGAGTTGAGGTAAAGATGCATGAATGCGGTCAAACTGACGGGATATTTACAACACTGTCGGGACCTGGAGAGGTCAAAGGGCAGTGTGTTTGGCACACGGTAGCAGGTTGTTTTCTTTTTAAATCACAACAGACGAACGGGTGAACGTTTACGCCGTCTTTGGGGAACTCGGATGAACGCGCGGCGGCTCGTTTTGTTGTAATGCCGACTTCGGACCAAAAAAAAATACAAACTTGCGTCTCCACGCCGGAGAGGGACATCGAAGGAGCTCTTAGGGTGAAGGCGCCAGGTTCGAGTCTGTACATGTTGTGCTCTGGGGTGGAAACACGGCAGGCGAGAGAATCTACAGCTTCAGTGACATTCATTAGCTGCCCAGGTTATTGCTGACGATGCCAACATACGATCTGCAAAGCACACGCGTCAACAAACCTGCAAAGGTACTGGCTATTTACAAGTCAAGTGTTCATCCCCTCACAATCAAAATATATTAATCGTACTGCTAAGCGAGCGTGTTTCTGTAGTTTCACTGTGTTTTTAATAAAATTAATCCTGACATAATTACAATAATGCCTTTGTCGTTTCAGCTGTACAGAACTGGGTGGTACAAGCTCACACGGCGTGACATGCAGCGCGTCTGAAACACCACGGTACCTCGTGAACAAACACATCTTATTTCAGTCCTCCTAAAGTGAGCTGCTCCTGTTCTCACAGTCCTTACACAGCAGGGTCGCTCCGTATTTACACGTGAAGGAAATCGCAACGTAAGTGCTGAAAAAAATCCATTTTTATATATATGTGAATAAATGTTTACATTTCTAGGCGATACATAAATAAATTCATAACTCTATAATCAAAAAGGTTCAGTCCTCGTCGCTGGAGTCCGAATCGTCGGAGGATGAGGAGCTGCTCCCAGAGTCCGACGAGGAAGAGTCGGCTTTTGTTGAACTTTCAGGACCACTGTTTTCTTTTTGTTCCGCCCTCTCCTCCTCGTCCTCTTCGTCTCCAGCCTCCTCCGGCGTCTCGTCCTCCTCTCCGTCCCTCTCCCGCGGCTGCTGCTTCTCCTTTGACGACGACGGGGAGGCTGCGGGGGGAGCAGCGGGCGGGAGGCTGGAGGGGTCACTGTTTGAGCTCTGGAGCTGCGTGGCGGACACGGGTAGGTTAAGGCCTGGAGTGAGAAGCATCCCTGGATACAGCATACTGGAAATTAACAAGGGGTTAAGAGTGAGTGAGTGACCGGAGGCTGCAGGAGCAGCTGAAGCACTTTGTGTGGAGGTGGTGGAGGAAGCACAGCTGGAAGTGGAGGAAGGAGTCGTGTTTAAGCCCTCTGTCCTTTCTCCTTTAGCGTCTGAAGTGTGAGGCGGAGCAGCCGGTGGCTCTCCGGTTCCCTTTGTCGTTTCCTCAGAGCCTCCGGCGCCTTCCTGAGTCGTCTTCCCAAGCAAGCTGCTCATACCGAGCAGGTTTGGCAATCCGGTCATGCCAGAGAGCATCATGGGAAACATTGCAGCCAAGTTGCTGGCGGCCAGGTTGCTGGCGTCTGACGGCAGACCCATCAGGCCAGCGGTGAGCTGCAGGGACTGAAAACTCTGCAGGTTCTGCTGGAAGGCCTGGAGACTGGAGAGGTCCATTCCAGAGAGGAGGCCGTTCGTCGCCAGAGGGTTCAAACCCAGACCGGTGGCCGCCGGGTTGGGCGCCGCCGCAGCTGCAGCCACCTTCGCCAGGGGATTCTTTGGTCGACGCCCACGTCGGCTCACCTCCTCAGGGACGATTGGTCCGGTCAGAATCCGGTCGAACATGCTCTCTGGGAGGTAACCCTGGAGAAAGCAGCGGACTAAGATCAGGAACTCACCGCAAACCTTCAGAGGTAGACATCATAGCTGCGAGAAGCGATTCTATTTCACGTTCAACACAAATAAAACTGTGACCTACCGACTGTTTGACCACGTCGGCCCACTCAGGCGGGACCCCGTACTCCGGGTTCTCCTGAAGGAACCGGCACAGATCTTTGAGAGGAGGAGCAAAGGCTCCACCGATCTACAGGAGGTAAGGAGGAGACGAGATGAGAGACAACACCATGAAACAACCCCTCCTCCTCTCACCAGTCCGTAGAGAGTGACGACAGCCGAGAGGCGGAAGACAAACCCACCTTGCGGGCGTTTCTGCGGTTGATTATCTGGACCCTCTCCTCTCCCGTCAGACTGTTGACATCGATCTTGTTTGGGTTTCTGCAGCGGTGCCGTTTTTGTTTGGGCCGACCGTCCTGGAAGTGGAACTGCATTTGCATCTTATTTACTCCCTAAGAAAAAAATAAACATGCATTTGTTCAATACATTAAACAAAACTATGATTTTATGTTGAAGAGACAAAGACCCACGGGGATGAAGGCTCCCGTGTCTGCCACAAAGCCGGGATGCTCCTTCAGCCACTGCTCCAGCTCTTTCCTCATGGGGGCGTCGTCTCCCGCAAGCCGGGTGCCGTCTTTCAGGTTGATCACGGGGACCCTGGTCTCCGTTTCTACGAGGATCGGAGTGACGCTCTGACTGCAGCCTGGCACAGCAGCTCCAGGCATGCCCACCTGACCAATCCCCCCCCACCCTGAAGGTGCCTGCAGAGTCACAACGGGACGCATTTCTCGTATCGTTCAAATTGTCCTTCAGTGGAAAAATTACCCAAATCTGGAAAAAGTTTAAAAACACATTTAAAAGTACCTGACTGGGAGCAACTGACACCTGATTCTTGTTCATGAAGAGCAGGTCCATCCCTTCCACATTTTTCCTCCTCCCTCGTCGCTTCTTAGCGATGGGCTGGAAGTCCAGGGCTCCATTCGGTCTGCTCTGACCAGAAAGAGGTGGAGGAGCTGGAGGAGAAGCAGCCTGTTAGCTTTGATCTGATGCTCCAACCACACACTGTCCAGGTTTCAGCCATTTTGGGGTTTCTTTAAGTAGATTAGCCACCTTGACACTTCAGAAAGTAACAGAATGAACAATCCATGCTGATAAAACCGCCCTTTGCTGCCATCTAGTGGCAGGTAAAGGGCACTGGGTGAACCCTTCAGCTGATATTGGTGATTTTAAGATCAACACACCCGTCTGGAAGCTGCTCTGAGGCTTGGTGATGTCCGCTAGGCCCGTGTCTGAAGCGCTCTGCAGCTCGTGTAGCCGGGCCAGGTACTGCTGCTGGGCCTGGGGGCCTTCCTCAGACTCCAGGGGCCTCTTCGTAGGCAGACCCTGCTTCTGGAAGGTCAGCTTCAGCCCGCCCTCCTGCTATCGACGCAGAGAGGAGAGCATGAGCCAGAAAACACACGTGGATGCTTTTATTTGAGTCTTCCTTGATTTATCTTTAGAGACGAGCTGAACGATAACATTCATCAAAGCATCTAAAACAACAGCAAACACTGTTCAGGTTGTTTTTGTTAGTAGTACTGGGACAAGCAGGGCGGGGGGTGAAGTCTATTCCGAGTTCGGATCAAGCCTCAAAGCCATGCCGGAGTTATAGCTGCTGGCAGCGGTCAGGAAAGTCCCGATTTAAAGGTGAGAAGCAGGTTTCTGCAGGTCTGAGCGTAAAACCCAGAGATTCTGGATCTTTATCAGCAAACAAACAGAAGTGAATCTGACTCCTGCAATGTTAATAACCACGAAGTCGACAAGCAAATTACTCAGTTTCAATTAGATCAGTAGCGAGACCCCTTCAGTCTGGAGAGGCTTTGAACAGAACCTTATCAAATTCTCCTGACTGAATGATTTGTGTTCATGTAATCACCGCCTGAGAGCCCAATTCAAATGGAGTGCGTGGGAAAAGAGAGGAAGGCTGCTATTAAATTAATCTCTCCTCCTGCCAGGCAGTCCGAACCGCTAATCATCCCCAAAGGAAAGCCGGCCGGAGACCAGAGAAACGTGCTAAAGGCGGCAGCTAGCACCGCTCACGGCAGCAGGAGTCCTACGGTTAGGGCTGAAGCGGAGGGAGGAGGGGAGGAAGGGAGAAATCAACATACATCGTTGAGTTTTACTGAGAACTCCTTGTTTTCTGCAACATGCTTGGTCACCTTTGACCCCTGTGGCGAGGCAGAGGGGTCCTCGCTCAGGCTGTTGGCGCTGTCGAGCAGCTTGGTGGTGTAGAAGGAGGTCACGGCGCCCCCGGGCTCGTAGACCCGACGCGGGCCCGGCCACTTGCCCTTCAGCACCGCCTGGCAGATGCTGTCCAGGCGGTTGATGATCACACGGTCCTGAAAAAACAGACATGTTCAGCCGGACGTCGCTCTTCTTACATATCTTCTTACCATCTTACATTGGTGATCTTCTTAGTCCCTACACCCCCAGCAGGTCCCTGAGGTCCAGTGACCAAAGCCTACTGGTTGTGCAGCACCAGGCTAAAGGTCAAAGGTGACAGATCATCTGCTGCTGTGGCCCCCAGACTCTGGACCTCTCTCCCCCTGAGCCTGAGATCAGTGGACTCAGTGGTCTCCTTTAAAAAGCAGCTGAAGACTCACCTGTTCAAGCTGGCTTTTGTATGACCTTCTTCACCTCTCTCTCTTTATTCTGCTCTCCCCACCTATTCCACCTTCCTCAGGATCCACTGGTTTCCCTCTTTCCTGTTCACTCTCTCTCTTTCTTAACATTTTTAATCACAATTGTCTATTTTTGCTCATTTTAAATATATTTTTAAACATTTTCTAAATTATTTTTTATATTTTTACATTTTTTGTTTTTGTGAAGCGCCTCGTGATTTTTATCTTGACAGGCGCTATAGAAATGATATTTTCTTCTTCTTCACGTTCACATCCGGTCCGCCAGGGCTGACCGGCTTCAGGAAAGAAGGAACAGACTCCATTCACCATTTTTCTCAAATCGAATCAAACAAAACGGCCAGATCCACAAACACTACAGGAAGTAGAGATGGGTACCTTTGACATTTGAATCGATTCGGTACTAATTCCCGGTACCTAGGAATCGATACCGGTACTTAACGGTACCAATTTTAGATACTTTTGAGTGTTTAATATTTTAATTCTCTTTTATAATTAAATATATATTTTTCTCAATATATAACCATATTAGATAAATATCATGATAAATAACATACAACTGTTTGTATTTTAACATCGTCCTTGTAGTTTTATAAGCTGATAATTAAACTGAAGCAAACATCTTTACTGTGAACTAAATTTACTGTGTATCTTCATTCCTTTTGCCGTCCTTTTTCTTTGATTTTTCCTACTGGGAAGTTAGAATTTCCGAGGAGAAAGCGAACGCACCATTAGCTGATAACAATGGTGGCAATGGAAGCTAACATATCAAGCTAACGTTATCTTAAACAGTTTATTTAGCTGCTGGAGCAGATTAAAACGATGATGCCTCACACTTAGATCGTTGTCGCTGGTTTCATCTTCACCCAATCACCCGTCACATTTAGTAAAGTGAAGCCAAACTTTAGAGCGCGTTCATGTTCTTCTAGTCAGAAATTCGGAGTTACGAGGAGAACGCGAACGCACCATTAGCGGAACGGAAGCTAACATATCAAGCTAACGTTATCTTAAACATTTTATTTACCTACCGGAGCAGATTAAGATGAGGATGTCTCACTTAGATCGTTGTCGCTGGTTTCATCATCACCCACTTACCCATCACATTTAGTGAAGTGGACCCAAGCTTTAGCGTGCGTTCTTTCTACCATGCTGCTCTGTTTACAACTGGCTCGCAGCGACCGACGACATAACGCTCTTGCGCATGCGCAGCTGTCTAGGCAAGTTCTCGTTATGAAGGACGGGTACCGAAACGAGGCACCGTTTCAAATGATGTGAATCGGTGCTCAGTCGGTACTGTGGAATTCGGTCGGTACCTTAAAAAGTACCGAATTCGGTACCCATCCCTAACAGGAAGTGACATCACACCATCAAATCATTAAGAGCTATTACTCCAACGCTTCAATAGTCATTCCGTTCTTTTTAGATGACCACAGCCGTTACTGACGTCAGCTGCAGCAACGCTACGAGAAAAAGAAAACAAAAACCGGAAAATGACCGAATGTGCAGCTCTGTCTGCTGCAGAACCGGGCTTAGCTGCAGCCGGAACACAGAACCGGGCTCAGCTGCAGCCGGAACACTTTCAAAAGCAGGGAAACACAAACAGATCCCTACAGTCTACCAACATTTACAGCACCTGATCAATCTGAACCTTAAATCCTGCAATGGAAGCTGTTTTCACCTTCGGCCAATAGGACGCAGCCATCATGTACCCGCCTCCCTGGAACGGGTGGGAGGAGCTGTTGGTGACGCCGTTTTCAGCCATGTGGGCGTCTTGTGTTTCATCCTGCATGGTGCTCAGCGACGCCACGCTGTCCTCATCAAAGCCCTTGACGCTCGTCGCCACGGGAACTGCGAACATGACGGTCAGACGTCAGAAACACTCAGCTGTGCAGAATCTTCGGACAGAAACACGGAGAGCTAAAACCTAAAAGTGCCTTTTCCTCGGGGTTACTCACTTTTCTTCTTCGCTTCCTCGCCCTCGCTTTCACTGTCATCAGAGGAGGATGAGGAGGACGATGAAGATGAGGAGCCGGAGGAGCAAGAAGACGATGAGGACGAAGAGCTGGACCCGGTACGCGACGATGACGAAGAGGATGATGATGAGGATGAAGAGGAGCGGGATGAAGAGCTTGAGGAGGAGCCGTCTGAGTTGTACTCGGAGCCCCTCCGGGCCTCCCTGCGGCCCCTCTTGCTGGCCTTCTTGGGTTTCCTCTCTGAGGAGTTTGGCGTGAGCGGTTTGGTTCGTGCCGCCACCATCTGCCTGTCACTGTCGCTCGTTGCGGGGAACGGCTTCTTCTCCAGGCCCGTGGGGGTCGCTGGGGGTCGAGGCGGGCTCCAGCTGTCTCCCTGCTTCGGTTTGGCCTCTTCCTCCTCCTCTGAGGCTGGTTCCACTTTGGGCTCAGCCCCACAGGGGTCAGCCTCCCTCTGGGCCGGCAGGGGCAGCGGTGAGCCGGTGATCAGCGAGCTGGCCACCTGGTGCTGAGGCTGCAGGAGTGGCGTGGATGTGCGTTGCTGCGGCGGCGCCGCCGTTTTCATCTGGCTGTAGTTCCGCTGGGCAGCCATGAAGCTGAGGTCCGGATCTCGGAGGATGTGGTAATCGGTACGACTCACGCCGTGCTTCGCGGCGCCGATTAGCAGGTCGCGGTCGTGAGTCCCGACCTCCCACCACACAGGCAAGTCCGAGCTCATCTGGCACAGCCGGAGGCGTTCGTAGAGTAGCGGGTGTCGGAGCACCTGCTCCCTCACCTGGCGCAGCAGCTCGACTCTGTAAAGGGTACGAGACGCTCGCTCCTCCGTGATTGGCTGGATGGTCAGAGACGGATCCACTGAGGAGTCTGGAACACAAACAGGGAGTTAAGAGCTTCTCTATAGTTGAAGCCCAGAGACTCGTCTGCGCCCCGAGCCGACGCGTCCCGCATGAAACATGAACCTCGTCTCTGCTCCGGCACCGCTCTCCCAAACAAACCCACACACGACCTTTCTCACATCCGCCTGCTTGCTGGTGAAGTTAGAGGAAGTCTCGGACGAAGCTGGAGCACAGAACTGAAACTGAAGGTCTGCACGCAAAAACCGCTCACCTCCTTCTTTGGGCGGCAGGCGACACACTCGCCTACACATGGCGGTGAAGGCGCACAGGTACTTCTGCAGACTCTCGTCGGTTTTCTTGTGCAGCCGAGCCATGGCCCGGAACTTGGTCCAGTCGAAGCGGCCGAGGCTCGGGTCGAAAACGACTCCAAACGTGGAAACGACCCGGTAAAAGTCGGCCTCCTCTCTCCTGGTCCACCTGAGGAAACGAGAATGTCATTATTATGAGTC